TCTCTCTCTCTCTCTCTCTCTCTCTCTCTCTCTCTCTCTCTCTCTCTTCCCCCCCCCTGAAGGGAATGAGGCAATTCTAATAATGTACACCAGGGGGCGCACCTCTCAGACTCTTGCTCATCCCAGAAGTACTCAGTGAGAGCAGAAAACACTTCTGATTGGTAGAAATACACTGACTTGGCCTGTGAAGATTAGGATGAAAACTGAGCGGAGAAGGGCAGTGTAGGCAGAAGAACCATCCTTAGGAAGGAAGAAGAGGCAAGCATGTGGTGGGAACTGAGGAAAGGAGAGTGGCCCACTTGGGGTACACAAATGCGCACAGTGATTGGTTAGAGATAGCGATTTAAAAGTGAGTGTTTTGGCATCTGTTTGGGAAGACCCTGAAGGCCAGGATGAAACCTGTTCAACTTTTAGCCTGTGTTTTATATTTCCTCCTTTTTTTCTTTTTCTTTCTTCTTTCTTCTTTTGTATTTTAGGACAGGACCTACAGGGTGTACAGGGTCTCACTGCGTAGATCGGACTCGTGGTGATGCTCCTGTTTACAGCCTCCCAAGAGCTGGGATTACAGGCTCCCGCCACCACACCCAGTCTCAAGTCTCAGCGCACCCCGGGAACAGGGCCAGCACAGCAGGCCCAGGAATCGAACCCCCGGCCCGGGCGCCTGCCTAAGCAGGCACTTTAATCCACTGAACTATTTGACTGGCCCTTTCCTCCCTTTTTCAAATGAAGAAAAATTGTCCTGCACTCCATATAAAATATATAATATAGTTAATGTACATAAGTAACAAAAGAGTTCTTCTTATATTTTTATTATAACGGTTAAAAAGGGGGGGCATAAAGGTAAGCCACGGATGGGACATGGCTGTTTCACAATGCATTTGGTAAGCCACTGATGCCTCAGTGAAGGTCAGGTAGCAGAAGTGTGTGTGGAATCTGTTAGCAGTCAGCCTATGAATGGGAACTTGGGAAACGCATCAGGCTTCTCGGTGAGGGTGGACCATACTGACACAGGTCATCGAGCTGTGTCCAGTATTTAGGAAAACCCGATGAAGGAGAAAGTGGAAGGTTCTAGTCAGGACCTGAGTGCCTCGGGTGACAATTCCAATCCAACACCTGCAGATCACTCCCTGAGCACTAGAATGCTCAGTGACAACCTATGGCGTGGGTCCTGTCACTATTCTCCATTTTACAGATGATAGAACTGAGGTACAAGAAAGCAAAACCAAAATCTGAAGCCAAGCAGTCTGATTCTAGAGTGCAATTTCTACCTGCTCAGCAATTGTTGGGGCCATGGGAAAATCCATTTATTATGCAATGAACAGGACTTCGTGCCTGTTTGAACACAGGCATATCAGGGAGGAAGGAGAAAGGTGATCCGTCCTCCAGTTTAAGAAATGAGAAGAAAGCTGATACCATCCCAGTAGGAAAAACAGGAAAAGGCGATAGCTTGAGAAGAGCATTTGGCCTTTGAATAAGTAATTAACAGGTACTGCCCTGGATTTTAATGGTCACTCCAACCGACAATTAGGTGTGCACCCCTGCTAAGAAGGAGTTTTCCATAAGAAGTACCCCCATTTCTTTACCTCCTGGATGAGCTCAATGTAAGTAGCCAGGTTCCCCCCACCCCGCAAAGTTGAATCTTTCCCAAAGTCAGCAAGCATCCACCGAACTACGTGAAACTCTGTGCAGCCACCCCTCAGTCTCTGCAGGGCATTGGGCATCAGTTCTAGGAATGCTTGAAGATATCAAAGGCTCTGAGGCCAAAGGTCCCTGTACAAAATCGGGTGGTATGTGACATAACCTACGTACATCCTCCACTATAAGCTAAATTGCTCTACATTGCTCCCATTCCCTGATCGATATAAATGCTTTGCAAATAGTTGCTGTACTGTATTGTTTAGACAATAATGACAAAAAAAAAGAAATCTGTACATGCTCAGTATAGATGTAATATCTTCCCAGAAAATTTCCATCCAGTGTTGGTGAAATCTATGGATGCAGAACTCACAAAGGCAGAGGATCAACTGTACAGGCCATGAGCCAAACGCAGTTGCCAGTGTCCAATTGCTCAGACCACCTCCAAACACTCACAGGAAGAATAAAAATTTTGTTAAGAAAGTTCCTAACATATAATGTAAATTGTTCATATGGTGCTTCCTCTACTTCTGTACCATTTTATGTACTATTAGATTCTAACATATTGTCATTAATAACTTTTTATAAAACTGAAATAGTAGATAAAAATTAAACAACATTAATCTATTTCTGCTAAAGAATGAATCTAGGAGACAAATTGCTAGTTCTTGAGAACCAAAGATCTCAGGGTTATCGAGTTGAACTTCACTGGACTATTCCAGGCCTGGTATACACAGGAGAACATAAAGACATTGAAAAAGATTAATAGAATTTCTGAGAGGAGCCAGGGCCTCACTGGACATTCGAGCAGTGGCTACTTTGGCATAATGCCATTTCTCTTTTCTTTCCAGTGGCTGACAAAGCTGGGTACCTGATGGGCCTGAATTCTGCAGAAATGCTGAAAGGCTTGTGCTGCCCAAGAGTGAAGGTTGGAAATGAGTATGTCACCAAAGGACAAAATGTCCAGCAGGTAACACTGATGCTTTGAATGCAGATGACAAAGGTATTGTGGTACTATAACCATCACCTTAAAGTTCTTTCAGCTTAAGCCTTCAAAAACATGTTAAAATGGTTTCAGTATTAAGGAGGAATTAACTCTTTGGCCTCAGGCCTAACCCAAAGACTGCAAATCAAGGAGTGTCCACCAGACTCCATGAGGGCCTGGGGCCAGGCAGCCTCTCTCCAGCTCTTTCTCTAAGACTGCATGGGCTCTCAGTTCTCCTCTGTTGCTTTTCACAAGATCAGCTTTTTCCACCTCACCTGCCCATTACCACTTATGCTTCCCAAATTTAAATTCCATGTTTCCAATGAGAATTAGGCCAGTGTCTTTTGCTCTAAGTTCCAGATTCTCTAAGGAAACACTAATTCACCCTGGATCATGGGTCTACCTCTAGTTTGATTAAGTGAGGCCAGAGGCTGGAGTCATGTGTTACAGTTGTGGTTGTTACAAGAGTAACTTCCCCTAGGCACGGTGGTGCACATCCTTAATCCCAGCTACTCAAGAGCTTGAGGTAGGAGAATTCCCAGGCTGGGCAATTTAACAAGACCCTATCTCAGAACAAAAAGGGCTGAGGATGTAGCTCAGCGATCCTTGGTTTCAATCCTCAGTGGTGGAGGAATGAAGGGAGGGAAGGAGAAAGGGAAGAGAGGAGGGAGAGAGAGAAGTGGAGAGAGGGGGGGGAGGGAGAGATAGAGAAAGACAAAGATGAAGACAAAGACAAAGACAAAGAGACAACTATCTTTGTAAGAAATGTTGGCAAAGGCTATACTTTCAGGGATCGTTTCTGTAGTATGTTACTAGAGATATTTCTCTGGTCATGTAGAGCACCGGAAACCATGAGCAGGAGGTGCGGTGCTCCTTCCTGAGCATGCTGGTACTGCTTTGCTGCAGCTGCCACCTGCCATTGCCAAGCCTTCTTGCTTTCTCCTTGGAGGGAGCAAGAAGGGAGGTGCACAGCCTGAGTGGCTTCTGTTTAAAAAAGAAACGAAGCTTTGGCAATCCTCAGACAAAGGGGAGTATCATGAGATGAGTAATTATCTCAAGAAATATGAAATATTATGTGGAACTGTATGAGATTGCTAATAGTCAACTGCTTTGGACCTTCATAGTGTCAATTTCATATGTTTAACTTAATACAACCTTAAAAACAATGATCTGAGCATTCAGGGGATGACCTTTCTTCAAGGTGACCAACTCAGTGGGCGCTCTGGCCAAAGCCGTCTATGAGAAGATGTTCCTGTGGATGGTCACCCGCATCAACCAGCAGCTGGACACCAAGCAGCCCAGGCAGTACTTCATCGGGGTCTTGGACATCGCTGGCTTTGAGATCTTCGATGTAAGTTGTTTGGGCAAGTAATTGCCCTCCTTTGTGTCTTCTTGGGTGAATTTCCAGAGGTTTTCAACCTCACTCAAAGTCTTCTGGTATTTATATCCAGTTCAACAGCCTGGAGCAGCTGTGCATCAACTTTACCAACGAGAAGCTGCAACAGTTTTTCAACCACCACATGTTCGTGCTGGAGCAGGAGGAGTACAAGAAGGAAGGCATCGAGTGGGAGTTCATTGACTTTGGGATGGACCTGGCTGCCTGCATTGAGCTCATTGAAAAGGTAGAGAAATACCACTCCAGAGTCAACTTCTTGACTGAGACACTCAGCTTGCTTTTCTGCTAATAGGCTGATTTCCCTAAGGCCCCATCAAGGTAGTACGTGCTTAGGTAGCTGAATTATCCTGTGCAAGGAGGGAAGCATGTGGGAAGTACCTGGAATCTGTGCTCACTCCTGAACAGAAAGGTGGGTTGTTAAAATTTAAAGGCTCAGTTAGCCCCAAGTATGAATGGATGCTAGGAAGGACTGTGGCATTTCTTAGCTGTTTGACTTGCTCAAGGAGGGACCATCAGCACTGGGGTTCTTGGTAAGATGTTACCATGAAAGCAAGACATGATATTTATTTTTCATAGACTTCCATAGCATTTGACCAGTGGTCATGTCAGAATGAGTTCTTTTCCTGGTGTGGAAGTGAGAAATTCAGACATGGTTCAACATATGACTTTTATAGATAACTTGATTTTTTAAAATTGCTGGACAGATACATATCATATATAATTTCATTCCATGTTGTTTTGTTTAATAAATACTAGCTAAACACATCCTCTGTATCTACCACTATTCTATAATTGCACCAAACACACCAGGAGCCTTGCTTTAACAAAGCTTGTATTCAAGTGTTCCTAGTACCAGAGTCATGGCATCAAAGGAAATCTCTTTGGCTTCTCCAGCCCATGGAGCCCCTGGTATGTATTCCCAAGTGTAGAACATGGTCTCTTGTGTTCCTCCTTCCAGCCGATGGGCATCTTCTCCATCCTGGAGGAAGAGTGCATGTTCCCCAAGGCAACAGATACCTCCTTCAAGAACAAGCTCTATGACCAGCACCTGGGCAAGTCCAACAACTTCCAGAAGCCCAAGGTGGTCAAAGGCAAGGCCGAGGCCCACTTCTCGCTGGTGCACTATGCTGGCACCGTGGACTACAACATTGCTGGATGGCTGGACAAGAATAAGGACCCCCTGAATGAGACTGTGGTCGGGCTCTACCAGAAGTCTTCACTGAAGTTGCTGTCCTTCCTTTTCTCCAATTACGCTGGGGCAGAAGCAGGTGAAAGTATTTCCCATCCTGTGGCTTGCTCTGTGTACTTAGCCACAACCCAAAGCTGCCCCCTGAATCGGTAGTCAAACATCAGCCTGAGGCTGAGCTTGACCCATCTGTCTCTCTTTCCACTCCATTTTTCTTCCCCCTACTTGAATGGCTCCTCTTCATCAAGATGTGAGTTCTTGGGGCTGGGGAGATGGCTCAGTGGAATAAGTGCTTCTCTGGCAAGCACAAGGGCCTGAGTTCAATCCCCGGTTCCACAAAAAAAAAGAGATGTAAGTTCTTCAGAGGTGAACTAGACCTCTTGGGAGACAAGGCAGATAATATCACATTGTTTAGTAGTTTTAAAAATAAGATATAATTTACAAACAATAAACTCAAACCTTTAAAAATTCAGGGGTGTTTAATAAATTCACAACACCGTGCTGACATCACCCTGATGAACTGCATCAGCCCTGCGTGCCAGGAGCAGCAACTCGCCACTGTGGTGTCCAGCCTCTGGCCACCACGAGGTGATTTTCTGTCTCTATGGATTTGCTTATTCTAAAATTTTCATACAGGGCTGGGGATCTAGCTCAGCGGCAGAGTGCCTGCCTAGCAAACACAAGGCCCTGCGTTCAATAATCAATACCAAAAAAAAAAAAAAAATCATACAAACAGAATGATATACCATATAGTTCTTTGTTCTGACTTCTTTTACTTAGGCTTATATTTTTAATATTCATAGGCAGTGTATATACACTAGTATTTCATCCCCTTCACTAGGCAAATAACATCTTGTTGGGTGGATGTGTCATGTTTTGTATATCTGCTCAGCAGTTGATAAACGCTTAGATTCTCTTGACTTTTGGCTATGGTGAAGCAGGCTGCTACAAGCATTTGCAGATACAGTATTTCTAAGTGGATATCCATTGTCAGTTCCCTTAGATATATGCCTGCAAGGTAGAATTGCCGTGTCCCATTTTAAGTAGGTTTGAGTTTTGAGGAACTGCTGAATTATTTTCTAAAGTAGCTACACAAGGCAGTATTGCTTTTCTTTTCTTTTTTAAGCCAGGAATCAAACTCAGTACATTGTGCTTGCCAGGTAGGTGCTGTGCTGCTGAGCTATATCCCCAGCATCAGTATCACTTTTAAAGTTTTATGATATATTTGTATTTTAAAGAATGGTCAAAATAGAATTTTAAATGTGTATGTTGATGTTAATGCTTTTAATTTTTAAATGTATGCAATATAATAATGCACCAGAGAATCAGATCATTTTAAAATTAATATCTTGTGTACTCAGGGGAGAGGAATGTAAAAAATGGGTACAAGTTTAAATATGAATAATGAGCATCATTTTCCTTGAATCTGGCCAAAGTAACGCTATAGCTGTATGGCTTAATCTTACTCAAAGATAATACCAAGGCTTAATATAAAATCCTATGTGGGTGTGGACCAGGGAAATTGTTTTCCTGGCTCCTTCCCGGTGGCCCAAACTCACGTTCCTGCTAGACCCGGGGATTTGCGGGGGAAATGAAACTTGTGTTGGTGGAGGTGATACATAACATTGTCCACAAGGCTGAGTCCAGTTAAGCACAAAAAGCTAAATAAGAAAGTGAGTCATTCAGAAAAAGTAGATCAAATATCATTGACTCCAAATTAAGGTAAACAGATTGGTTTAGTTTCAAACAGCTTGTAGAGTATCCTTGAGAAATTTTAATCTTAATATCAGTTGCTTCCTCATTAAGAGACAAACAGGAATTCAAGTCTAAAGAGAAGTAACTGTAATCATCAAGAGGGTGTGATGCCATGTTTGGCTTCTAAGAGAAAGGACTGTCCTTCCATATGGTGTGAATCACAGTTTTGTGTCACTCCCACCCCACCCCACCACACCCCAGGGACATGGTAAGAAATTTTAATGTCCCAAATCTGAGTAATTTAGAGGCACATTAAAAACAATAAAAAAAAAAAGTGGAACTTTCATCTCTTCCACCCAAAGGAAACAAAAAATTCCTACTTCTAAGCATTCCTCTCCCCTGCTTAGAAGAGGTGCTTTAGAGAGCCCAGCTGTGTGTCCCCTGGGCTGTGCCTGACATGTCCTCTTGTGTCTGTCTCCAGGTGACTCCGGGGGAAGCAAGAAAGGCGGGAAGAAAAAGGGTTCCTCTTTCCAGACGGTGTCCGCCGTGTTCAGGGTTGGTGTTGGGGCAGCTTCCATTTTGGGTGGGTTTCCTGCCCAGAGAGATGGCACGTGCTAAGACAAATGTGCTTGCTTTGGTCCCAGGAGAACTTAAACAAACTGATGACCAACCTGAGGAGTACTCACCCACACTTTGTACGATGTCTGATTCCCAATGAGACCAAGACTCCTGGTGAGTAACCATCTGAACCTGCCACTGTTTGAAAAGCGTGGGGCTCCCGGAAATGCCTGCAAAATCTACGTGTGTGCGTGGGCAAGTATAAAGAGTTAGAATCCTTGTTACTTCTCAAAGGAGTCTGTTACCGAGGTTGCCATATTTAGCAAAGAAAAATGTCAGCTGCCATGTTAAATTCCAGTTTCAGATAAAAATTAGTGTAGGTATGACCCACACAATGTTTGTGATATACTTATGCTTTTGAAATTATTATTTATTTTAAAACATTCTGGATTTTATCTGGAACCTCTGCTATGAAATTACATGCAAAATATCATGTGTGTATACATAGGCAAGTTCAATTCTTATCTTTCATATGATTCTTAAAGGGTTCTATTATATTCCTTTACCCTAAAATTAAGAATTGCTATTTGTCTTAGATAGCTCATAATAAAGATAGCATCAGTAACAACTAGTTTTTGAATCCCTGTTGTTTATCATCACCTTTACATCATTATCTCCATTTTACAGAAGAGAAAATTTCCATCAGAGACCATATGTACATAGATATTGAACACCATGCAGTACAATGGACCTTTTGCTGATGCTCAATCCTGACCCGTGAATATTCTTAAAAGCATCTCTGTTTCTCAGGTTCTTTTGTCACACTGAGAACAAACTGCCACACAGAGCTGGGGCCATGAGGAGTTCTCTCACAGAGAAGTTATTGTGTGCCAAGCACTGGACTCCTGGCCCGTGACTGCAGCATTACAAGGCAGCAGGGGTGCTAGCCTGGCGAGGGAAAACCATCCCAGCCCCTCACCGTGTGGCTCTGTGCCGAGTGCCTTAGCTCTCGCGGCCTCCGCTCTCCCGTGTGTAAAAGGAGGAGAGCAGATGGCGTTTTCATCCCTTTCTCTAATAAATGCTTCTAACGTGGCTGCTCACTCCATCCCACGACTGCTGCAAAGATTAAGTGAGCAAGTACAAGTAAAACGTTACACACAGGATGAGCACGTTATGCGGACTCACTAAGCGCTGCGAGTCAGTTCCCAGCAGTAGAATGCACAGCCGGAGCCTGTAATGCTCCAAATAACGAGGTCCACTGTACTTAGTGGAACTGCGCCTTCTGTGGAAGTTTAGAGGTCTCAGTCAGGGCACAACACAGCCATGACATGACAGCCATGTGTAGAGCAGGCTGTGCCCCTCCCAGGGACTTCACCACAGCCAGCCTCTCGTCCAGCTTGGACCCGGGCCTTTGCCCTGGTTAAGCATCAGATTAAGTCGTTGTCTCGTGTGTTTTGTTACTAAAAGACCAGTTGCTGTTGTTGTTGCCGAGCACATGTCTGTGTACATCAGAAGTACGTGTGTCCTGCCTCTGCCATGAAGCAGATGCCTCCCAAGGAGCAGGAGGCAGGAGGGTGGTCTGAACCTCTGTGGAGGCAAACTTGCCCACCGTGTGAGGAGGGAACGTCCATGTCTGTGAAATCCCTGTCCCTTCCTCTGCATTTGCTTCTCCTTTGCTCGGACACCACTGTGCTGTTATCTCCACCTCGAGAAGTGGACCACAACACTGGCACCTTAGTGCAATCACCTGCTTTCTAGAAGTCACCCTGGAGATGTCCCTTGAGGTGGAGGCATTGTGGGACTTTAGCAGCACTGTTGGCCTCCACCCTCCAGCCCGCTTTGGAGTCTGTACAGGTGGAGGGGTCCAGCTTCAGCTCGGCAACTATCTCGCAAAGTAGTTCACGTCGTGAGGCTTCAGTCTCCGCTAGGGCCCTACAACCCACAAGACGACTCCACAGGATTAGGAAAAGCCCCCCCCCCCCCGCTTCTGCATGGACACAGCTCCAAAGGTGCATGTTTGGCAAGAACAGCAGCAGGTCTGGTCTTTCCATCATTAAGTGATGGGCTTCAGGTTTCCTTCTGGCTGTAAAAAGATAATTGTCCTATAAATAGGCCTCTGCTCCCTGCCCTGGGGAGCAGCCTTCGCCCTGTCTCTAGCCCGGTTGCAACACGGAGAATTACCTACTGGGTCCCTCGCTGTGGGTCAGTGGCTATTTTAACCTTATTACTTATTTTAACTCACTGAATATTTCCAACAGACTTATACTGCAGATACTATCACTTTCCTTACTTTACAAATTAAGAAACAGAAGGACAAAAAGTTTCAGTTCACATACTTAGTAAATAGCACAGCTGGGATTTGAACCAGTAGAATCACACACATGCAATGAAACATCACCTGCTATTCCACTAATATGTACAATTTTATGTTTTATGTACCAATTAAAATAATTTTTAAAAATAAAGGGCTGCATCAGAGAAATATGTAAAATGAAAATTATAAAATAAAACCAAAGTATGTTATTAAACATGAAAAAACAATATAAATATTGTCCTTTTAAAGAGATAGGAAAGTTTATTTGAAGATAAAGAAAATATCTTTAAGATAACCAAGAAATAGAAATGTTCGAAGTTTTCAAACAAGAATGTTCAGTAGATTTGTGGTAAATGTTAAGAGGAAATTTTAATGTACTCATTTATCTTGAATTTTAAACCATGTAAGTTCCAAACCATGAATTCAGTCCATGTATCTTCTATTTACTGTACAAGTAAAATGAAGGCTTTACTGTACAAAAAAGCAAAAAGGAAGAAAAAATTGAGAAGTAGACTAGATAATTTTTAGGTTTCTAGATACAAGCCTTTCTGAATTTCTGATACATTTTCTCCATGGTTTTAACCAGTTAATTTTTTTTCTAGAAAAATCACAGTGCAATAAAACTTTGGGGAATGACAAAAGGTTCTATATCCACACTATTCAATACAGTAGCCACTAGTTACATGAGATGTAGCTAGTACAAGCAAGAAATTTCAGTGAAAATTGGCTCGCATGGTTGGTAACTGCTGTCCTGGACAACGCAGCTCTAGGAAAGCCTTGGAAATCGTGCAGTTGTACAACGATGCCTCCTCATAGAAACTAAGGAAGCTTGTGAATATTCTAGAAGTTTCCATAAGGTTAAATCAAAACCAGCATTTTGTGCATTCCTCCCCAATCTTAGGGACCTTCAGTAAGAAGCCAGCATGAGAGGTAGCCATAGTGCCTATACAAGTTCCTCACAGTTCCAAGACAGAGAGTTTTCAGTGCCAGTCTGACTTGTGCCCAATCCAGCTGGTCATCAAAAGCGGCCATGGTATCCCTCTCATTGGTGTTTTTCCCTCAAGCTCTCTTCTTCCACCCAAAGTTGAAGCGTCCTAGACAAGCCCTTGCTTCCCACAGCAGGTGCTAAGTGGCTAGCAGGTGACCACTTCCTCTGCATTCAGTCCTCTCCGGCTGCCACCATGGCCTCCTTCTCTGTTTTCCCTTCTCACATCAGGGGCTGCATGCTTCATACCCTCATCCTTGTAGAGGTAGGAAGGCATTCCAACTTATCTAATGAGAAGTTAAAGGCTGCTACCCTCTCATTCTGACTTCTCTTAGAACCTAGCTAGAATCAAGGGCAACAAACAAGATAAAAGATCAGAAACTTGGCTCATGTTTCCATGCTTATAGGCACTGGAGTCTCCCCCAGAGGTTGGAATTATTTTCCTCTGTGGGACTCACAGACAGCTTCCAGCCATCTCCAACTCCCTCAGTCTTAGAGCTGCCACTAACTCTTCACACAAAAAGTATAGGTGTACAGTGGTGGCACATGGTAGCTCAGACCATCAAAGAAGAGCTCACGCATGGAAAGGCCACAGACTCACTCCCTGGGACACTCTCTCCTCAGGTGTGATGGACCACTATTTGGTCATGCACCAGCTGCGCTGCAATGGGGTCCTCGAGGGCATTCGGATCTGCAGGAAAGGGTTTCCCAGCCGGATCCTCTACGCTGACTTCAAACAGCGGTAAGTGCTCCGCTATGCATTTCCACTCTTGAGGCACCTATTACATTCCCCAAAGGGACGCCTTCAGCAGGGCAGTTGGTGAGAGCTTGCTATGGACATCAGCTGGGGGTCAATCCCATATCCAAAGTGAAGGCTGTGCCAGCCCAAAGTGGTCCCAAGGCTGGAGCCCAAGCCCTCTAGCCTGACTGTGATTCTAGAACAGAATGTTCCAACCTTTCCTCTGTGGACATTTGGGACTAGATGCTCCACTTCTTGTGGGAGATGTCCTCTACACCATAGGATCCTGACCTACAATTTAGCAGCATCTTGGCCTCTGCCCAAAGGTGCTGGTAGCAAGCCATATCCCTCTCCCCCAACCTATGACAATCAAAAATGTCTTCAGACATCGCCAAATGCCCTTGTGGGACCAAATTGTTCCAGTTAAAACCCGCTGTTCTAGACTACCTCTCTCCACCTGGGTGCCAACTGGGTTCAGAAATCCAGGCCTTCTCTGGGGTGGAGAATAGGAGTGTGCCCCTTAGAGGCCAGATCTGCAGGTTACAGGTGATTTCAAGACTCTTCCAAGTTAGACAAGAACTGTTTCCTCTGAAACAAAACTCCAACTATGTTTTTCGCTGAGATTCCTTCTTTCATGTTTTATCCCTCTGTCTTTGTCCTCCTTGTCTGGATTGCACTCCTGGAAATCTCCCACGTGTATGTCAGCTGTACAGTATTCTACTTTCTCCTAAAGTTGGAATGAAGAAGGTTTTAGAAAGCCTATTCTCAGATATAGGTCCATTCTCAGAGGTCAAATTTACTCAGTAAGGTTTCCCCCTTTCTTCAGGTACCGGATCCTAAATGCCAGTGCCATCCCTGAAGGGCAGTTTATTGACAGCAAAAATGCTTCTGAGAAGCTGCTAAACTCCATCGACGTGGACCGGGAGCAGTACCGATTCGGCCACACCAAGGTGAGGACAGGTGAAGTGGGGGGTCTCCAACCTAACCCACAGCCCTGGCCATGTGTTAGCTAGTCCTCTCCCGGTCAGCTAACCATCCTTTGTCTGATAGTCCAAATGAGGAGGACAGATGTGGGCAGGAACAGAGTGTTCGCTTTCTGTGCTGTTTATGAAGTGGCTAGAAGCTTAGAAGTCTAGGAAGAAAGCAATGAGGAATTCGGGCGTCCTAGAGCGAAATGCAAAGAGATTCTGAAAGAAGAAAGAGCTACCAGGAGAAGAGAACACAGAGCAGACTCCAGGGAAGGACAGTGATAACTTGAGAAGAATAATTCCAACCAATAAATGGCTGCCCGTTAGTGTGTGGGCTGGCGTCCTGTGAAACACCTTCAGTGTATATTTAATGGACTCCTCATTGAAGAGATAAGGGAGCTGGTGATAAGGGTGGTACTTACCTCATGGAGTTCTTGGGAAGGGAAAGAAAAGGGGGGCTCAGAGGCCAAGATCAGTGCTCGAGGTCACATGAATAGTTACATCAGAGAAGAATAATCAGGTGGCAAAGGCTGACTTCAAAGCCCAACCTTCCTGAGAGAAACAGGCTGGGATCCCCCACTGGCTCTGAGGGTACTGCCTTTCCTTGAACATCACAAGGGTAAAGCAGGTCTGCTGCTGAGGTGGTTGGGTTCAGGGGTCCCGAGGGTGGCACCAGCTTTCCCAGATGAGCCTAGAGGAAGGAAAGGGAGGAGACACATGAATCTGTTTCTCCTCACCACACCCCATTACACTCTTATGCCCTGGCCTGTCTTTGTTCCCTGCCTGTGAGCTCTGTCAGAACTGCTCTGTGAGGTTGTCAGGCCTGATGCCTACTTTCAAGAGGCAGCCTCACTCTGAAACAGTAGAGAGAAGGAGCCACTGAGATGCAAGTCTCAGAAGTTAAACTGCTGCTGGATCTGCGCCATCACTCTGAAGGTCAAGGCTGGGGCTGGATAGAAAGAGGCTCCCTCGCTGGGCCAGGTTGAGACCTCTTGAAGACTAAGCGTCTTTTTTAATGCAGGTGTTTTTCAAAGCTGGGCTCCTGGGACTCTTGGAGGAGATGAGAGACGAGAAGCTGGTGACCCTGATGACACGCACACAGGCCTTATGCCGGGGGTACCTGATGCGGGTGGAGTTCAAGAAGATGATGGAGAGGAGGTGACGCAGATTCACCCCTGCCTTACCCTGCTCTCCCTATGTAGCAGCCAATTATCACTTTCTGATTTTAGTCTTGGGATATTCATTCATTCATCCATTTGCTTGTTCACTCATTGGACCAGCACCTACTAAGCAGAAGTCCTATGCTGGGTAATGTGTTTGGCATTGGAGAATATAGAAGTGAACACTGACTTCAAGCAGCTCACATGGAGACACATGCATGGCCAGGGGAATGGGGACCAGGGCAAACAACCCCTCAAGCTCCTTGCAGGGGTTGAAATTAGCATGAAGGGTCAGCAAGAAGAAAGACCTTTCCAGAAGAAGCTATGAATGTCCTGTGGAAAGATGGTCTAGGAGGGAGATGGACTAGCAGGTCACTGTGACTGAAGCAGAGAAACAGGCAGTGGAAGTCCCCAGGGCATCAGCTTTAAGAACTAGGCAGAATCCTTTGTTTGATGGGGACCATGGGCTTACCCTGGCAGCCAGAGAGAGCATGAACCTGAGGGAATAAGAGAGGACAAGACTAAGTAGTAGCCATCTCTCTAAATAAAGACTTGAGTTAAAGCATAGTCAATAGGTGAGAGGAGAGGTTGTGAAGTGAAGGACTATTTCTGAGTCTTACACCTTGGTTAACTTAAGAGAAGAAATAGTAGCACCAATGACTGGCTTTGTGTGTGGAGAGGGGTGCAGGGGCAGAACGTGGGTGGAAGCTCACTCTCCTTGATTCCCTGACTCCCTGTATAGATTTAACCCCACTGGTAATTCCAGTATCCCATTACGTGTCATCATAGGTATCTAGATTATTGAAGCAAATGAAAGCTGGGATGGAAATGAATACTCACCCATACACTTGCCCTAGGGGTGGGCAGAAGTGATTGGTATTCTAGGTAGGCATCAATCACCTTGGGGTCGAGCACCAAGCCTCCTTAACCCACCCCTTCGAGGAAAGTCCTTGTCTATCCCATGTACCCGCTATGCAGATTGTTTCCCCACTTGATTCTCATTTGGTCAACATTACCCAAGTGACTGTATTCATTGTATATTTATTGGTTGACCATAGCTTTTTACCACTCACACCCATCCTGTGATTTGCCACTGGATCAATATTACCTAAGCAACTATACTTGTAATCTTACTCATTATAGCTTTGCCTACCTCAGGCCGCCTTACCTCATGGCTTTGCTCAATAAAACACCCTTGAAAAGCAGGGTTGGTGGACAGCCACTTTCTGGGGCCTTTCTGACTCTTTCAGACAGAAGCTTTCTTTCTCTCTAGAAATTCTTCATATTCTTTAAAAAAAAAAAGTCCCAGAGAAGGAACCAGTTTAAGGGGAAGAGAAACAAGATTTCAGATGCCTGCAAAGTATGTGATTATGAAGCTATGGTGGGTGAGCACTTGCACAGGTGACACCGGAAGTAGGCAACAGTCAGAATTAGGAAAACAGATGAGTTCTTCAGGGTGAGAGCCCAGGAGGCACCTGGACACAGCCGTTCCACTAACACTTCCACAGGAAGAGGAGCTCACAAGGCAGAATATTACAAAGCAAGAAACCAAGGGCAGGGGAAGTACCAACAAAAGGAAAATCAATGAACATTTCAAATGTGGGTGAAAGACCCCATGACAAGAATGAAAGGTGCTTACTGCACTGTCATGAGAGGGCCCTTATGGCCTCAGGTAGAGCTCTTTGGTAAGGTGGTACAGCAGGTCGTCAGGTGAATGAGGGAACTACAACACCCCTGCCTTCCCTTGCTCCCTCCCTGTGCATGGCTGTGCCCTTTGTTCACCATTTACAGAGCTACTCGTACCTCCTCCCCAGCGGGCCAGGCAGGATGGGTTTCTGGGCAACACATGGGGCTGGGAGTAGAGACCAGACTTGATCTGGTTTATTAATCCAAGTCCTCACGGGTACACAGGGACTCCATCCTCTGCATCCAGTACAACATCCGCTCTTTCATGAACGTCAAGCACTGGCCCTGGATGAACCTGTACTTCAAGATCAAGCCCCTGCTGAAGAGTGCGGAGGCCGAGAAGGAGATGGCCACCATGAAGGAAGACTTCGAGAGAACTAAGGAAGAGCTGGCCAGATCTGAGGCTCGCAGGAAGGAGCTGGAGGAGAAAATGGTCTCCCTCCTACAGGAAAAGAATGATCTCCAGTTGCAGGTCCAGACTGTAAGTATCTTCTACCTGATAATGCAAAACAGAGACTCATGCTGGAGCGCAGAAGAGGAGGAGGAACATTGAGGCCCCAAATAAAGTGTGCGTTCAAGAGGCAGTGGTGTCACCTGGTGGTCACACGCAGTATTGCAGCACCACCCTGCTGGTAAAGGGCAGGCCCTGGCTTCGCCAAAGACTTACATACGGGCCAGAAAATAGGACCGCAAAGTGAACTCATGCCTGGGGTCTCCCTGTCTTCCGTAGAAGAGTTAGACATACTTTGCTGTAGATATGAGGGATGTGTTCAGTTCACTGTAAACAAAAGCTGTCAGGAGTTCATGGGGTGTTTTTGAAATCATATCAATAAAAATAAATCATTAAATAACCCAAGTCAAAGTAGAAAGAATAACTTCCCCACATGACTTTCAATAATATGATCAGACTCCAAAAACACTTTAGAGGACACATTTTTATCAAATAAATTGGAAAAATGAAACCACATCTGCTGCGTACAACATTCTGGCAGTATTATTGTCTCACTTCCCGGAGTGAAGACATTTAGAATTTTCCTTTTCTTAATGAGCCCTCAAATACTTTCTTTGACTTTGCCTTCTCTGCAAAGAATTTTCTACCCTTTTTTCACTTTCCTAATCAGTAGAGTGCAGTTCCTAGGAGCATCTTCCCAGGAACAGGGGGCAAGAGAGCAAGCATAGAACCAAATAACCAAGTAAGAGCTTATATCCCTGATCCTCCACACACCTGGTGATCAAATCCAGGCCTTCCAGCTAGGCAAGTGCTGCACGGCTCCATCCTCAGCCCTTCATTCTCAACTTAGGCTTGTTTTAGACAAGTTACATTTTAGACAAGTTATGTTTTCTTATCTGTACAGTGTGTATGGTGATATGACCTGCCTGACACCCTGCTGGTGAGGAATCAAAGGTTTAGTGCATGTGAAATATCTAGCACGTAGCTTAAGTTTGTAAATGTGCAGTAGACATCAGCTCTTATTCTCACCAGTCTACTTCCATCTGTCCCTGGCAATGTGTGTCTAACTCTTAAAATATGCTTCCACGGGAAGACACAGCCTGGCTTAGTGTAGGAACAGGATTAGCTGATTTTTCACCTGGCCAGGAGATTTTCTAGAATCTTCTGAGACGTGGGCTTGTTCAACCCCTGATTCTTGGGTTACCAATGTGCTGTTCTGGGGCTCCTGGAGGCTCCATACGGGCAGCCCAATTCTGCTAAAAGTTTAAAAGTGGAAATGTTTTAAAAATTACTAGTCAAGCTGGGATAACAGAGTAGATGGATCTTTCATCAACTGGTAGCACCAGGAAGAATAAATGAGCCAATAAGAACTTCAAATTTCAGGGAATACATAGAGGCTTTTTTTTTTTTTTTTCTCGCTGAATCTCAAACTCAGGACCTTGCATTTACCAGACAGTTGATTAAGCCATGGAGCTATCTCCCCAGCACGAAGCTTTATTCTTTAACACAAACTAGAAATTCCATGAACTCCCTTGCTGTAGTTACCTCAGGCAACTTTCTATTAGATGAATGTTATGTGTTTTTCAAAAAAGCAGTATATGGGGGTGGGGATGTAGCTCAGTAGTAGAGCACTTGCCTAGCACACTGTAAATATTGGATGCCACTGCCAGCAAGCCTCCTGAACAGGATAAGTGACACACACACTCATGTGAGTGTATGTGCACACTCGTGTGCATGTGTGTTTGTGTGTGGCCACTCCTTGGCTTAGATCCAGGTGATGTGCTTCCTGCTCCCCACCCTGGCAGTACGAGGGATTGAACTGAGACGCTTTCAATTGAGCTACATCCCCGGCCCTTTTTATTTTGATGTTGATACAAGATCTCCCTGAGGGACTCAGGCAGGACTTGAACTGGCAACCTTTCTGTCCTGGCCTTCCAGAGTTTGGGGAGTACTTCATGCAGCTCAAATAAAGGGCTTTTCAAGGCAGACACCCTCTCTTTCCACAGTTTTCCAAGAGTTCTAGTCACAACTTACAGGGACCTGATTCTTTCAGGAAACTGAGAATCTGATGGATGCCGAGGAGCGGTGTGAGGGGCTCATCAAGAGCAAGATCCAGCTGGAAAACAAAGTGAAGGAACTGAATGAGCGGCTGGAAGAGGAGGAAGACATCAACTCTGAGCTGATGGCCAAGAAACGGAGCCTGGAAGACAAGTGCTCCTCTCTCAAAAGAGACATTGATGACCTTGAGCTGACCTTGACCAAAGTTGAAAAGGAGAAGCATGCCACAGAGAACAAGGTGGGTGCCGCTCAGGGCCCCACAGCTCTCGGTGAGGAGCAGGACGAGGGATGAGCCACATCCACACAGCACAGTGTGAGCAAGCGGCAGGAACCATGCAGAGGGTGCTTAGGCCCCCGTGTTCTGGAGCTCCCAGGCTCTACTCAGTCCCCCCCTGTCAAACTGTGAACTTTTAGCATCTCTTCAGGAGGCAGAGTTGCTTCATGTCTATCAGTTTCTCATATCATGAAGAGGTAGAGCACTGCGGGGCTCCGAGGATGCCCAGGGAGGTGGGGGTCAGGACCCTCATGCATTCCTGGAGGGTGCAGACTTCAGCAGCCTCCAGGAAGCTCACTTAGAATTACTCAGTCAGGTTGGGTTAGGAATTGACATATCCTGAGCTGGGGAGATGGCTCAATAGAATAAGCACTTGTCTGACAAGCACAAGGACCTGAGTTCAATCCCAGGTTCTGCCAAAACAAAACAAAAACATGTTGTAACTCATGATCCACTGGGATTATGGGTGTGAGTGCTACTGGAATTGACATATCCTGCAAGCCAGCTGCTCTGCTCAGGACCAAGAGCTTCTCCCACCCGTTCACAGGGACATGCAGGAGGACTTTGTGGTAGCACTGCTGATAGGGCAGAGCTGAGGCAGGGCCAGGTCCATCTCTGGAGGATGGAGAGCCAGGATGGAGGCTGTGCACACAGGGTGGATACTAGGCATCCAGTGCTCAGTGCAGAGAAAGGCAAGAAATGGAGCTATCAGCAGGGTGGTATTGAAGCAGGGAGAAATTACCCACACAAGGCACAGCCATCTACATTAACACGCGTGAAAGTGCGTGATGTGACCCACACCACGGTGGCTGCCCATGTGATGTGGTGCGGGACGAAGTCTGCGGGGTATAGAGTGACAATGGCATGTGCACACAGAGCCAGGCTTAGATAAGTACTTGGGAGATGGTAGGAGGGGTGGAGACTGTGGGTAACAGCGCTGGCCACAGTTAGTGGGCATGTAAATCTAATATTCTGAGAGCTTCTAATTTTCTAAGAGAAGCCATAAATCAAGGCTTTCAGAGAAATTTCATTTCTCTTCATTGTTGATAATGTTTTAAAAATACACAAATTAAAAACAGATTTCACCAGGAATAGTGGTGAATCCCTGAAATCCCAGCTACTTAGGCAGCCAAGGCAGGAGAATTGCAAGTCCTAGCCCAGCCTGGACAACTTAGCAAGGCTCCTGGGTTAGATGCCCAGGAGAGAGAGAGAAGGGAGAGGGGAGAGGGGAGAGGGGAGAGGGGAGAGGGCAGAGGGGAGAGGGGAGAGGGGAGAGAGAGAGAGAGAGAGAGAGAGAGAAAAGAAGAAGAAGAAGAAGAAGAAGAAGAAGAAGAAGAAGAAGAAGAAGAAGAAGAAGAAGAAAGAAAGAAAGAAAGAAAGAAAGAAAGAAAGAAAGAAAGAAGAAAGGAGAAGGAAAAGAAAGGGGAAAGGAAGAGATGAGAAGAGGAGGGAAAGAGAGAAGGGGGAAAAGGGAGATAAATAGGGGAGAAAGGAGAGAGAGAGGCAGACAGACCGACAGGCAGACAGAGACATTCAGGGCCAGGTTCAGCACCCCAGCCAAGAGTTAGTCACTTCTGATCCTGAAGATTATTGTACAGGAAACAAAGATTCCCCTTTAATGCCTTAAGGCCCCTTGCTTAGGCCCTTCAGCCACACCTGGACAGTGCAGGCTCCTCCCCATATTTCCCTGCATAACGCCTCACACCTCTCTCTCCCCCTTCTGGCCACCTTCTAAACCCCCATCAGTTAACCTAAACAGCACATTTCTGCAAAGTTTTATGAGTGAATACAGATGGATGCATTATCCTTCAGAGGAAGCATATTTGCATTTAATAGTGGCCCTCATTAAATATAATGTGCTCCTTGAAAGAGTGATTCTAATGCAAAAATCTGAGGTCTAAGAGGAAGATTAAGAACAGAGAGGCTTGCCAGATATGGTAGTACACTCCTGCCTTCACCACTGCTTGGGAAACTGAGGCAGGAGGACTGCTTGAGCCCAAGAGCTTAGAGCCTGGATGACATAGTAAGATCCCCATCTCAGAAACGAGTGCAAGAAAGAGAAGGAAGAAAGAGAAGGGAAAGAAAGGCTGGGGTGCAGTGGAAAGGTCCTTGGAGCCAACAATCTCCAGCACCAATTTAAAAAAAGAAGAACTGAGAAGCTGCCCTTCGTTAAACAAGCAGTAGCCAGAGACAGACAGAAGCAGCAGTAGCTTCTACTGGCAGAGACTTCTGGCTTAATTGCCTCAGTATTAAATTGGTATTGATATTCTCCTAGGTAAAGAATATTTCTGAAGAAATGACAGCCCTTGAAGAAAACATTTCCAAATTGACCAAAGAAAAGAAATCTCTGCAGGAGGCCCATCAGCAAGCACTGGATGACCTCCAGGTGGAAGAAGATAAAGTCAACGGTCTGATCAAAATCAATGTCAAGCTCGAGCAGCAGGCAGATGAGGTGAGCTTAGGAGGGTGTTCTGCTTCGGTGTTTGTCACTTCACCAGCTGGCAAGAGAGAGGTGGCAGAATTCAGGTCCTGGAACCTGAGCCCTGAGTCCAGGTTTCATCTTGCCCTCATCTTTCCCAAGCAAACCTGGCAGGATGAACAGAACAATGAACCCTGGGAGACCTCGGTTTCCATCCTGTCAAATGGGTAACAAACAGCTCTTTCTCGAAGGGTTTCTAGGGAAGGCTCAACACATAGAACACTTTTAGTAAAATATTAGGTGCTAAGATTTTTATTATCATTATTATTAGTCTCAATCATTTGGCTTCCAAAGCCTCCAAATCTGTTCTATGGTTATTAAGAATTACTTTCAGCTGGGGCTGGGGCTTAGGAGTGACTCTGTTTGCCTAGAATGTGCCAGGTGCTGGGCTCCACCCCCTAGAATGGCCAGAAAGAAAAATTTATTTGAGGGTATGAAAATTACTATTTTTGGGGGCCGGGGAGATGGCTCAGTGAAATAAGCGCTTCCCTGGCAAGCACAAGGGCCTGAGTTCAATCCCCGGCTCCACAAAAATAAAAAGAAAATTACTATTTTTTCCCTGTCATAGAACCTTGCTGTCTTTGATGTTAGAGCCAGAGTTGAGGTTTTCTGGCTTTACTCACAGCTGTGGCTAAAACTCTCATAAGTCTCTTCAATTTTTTCTGAGGCTGGAGTGAGTGTGCCCGGCCCCACACCCTCCTTTCCCAGGGCCCACGTGCGTGCGTACACAGACGCGCATGTGTCCCCTGCCTCAGTCTCCTGACAGTTGCGGAGCCCGGACTCCATGGTGCAGCTCAAGTGTTCCAGCCAGTGCAAGGCTGTGCACTTGGGGGCATCATATTTTTGTAGGACAGGCCACATGGGTATCAGTTGCACAACACAGAAAGGGCCACCTGAGCCCCCCACGGAACCCAGCTTCCTGGGCTCTTGTTGCTAGAAGACACAAGAGGGGCAAGGCAGGGAAGACGCACATCTCCCCAGGCTGGAGGCTTCCGGTGAGTGCCTGAAGGACCCCAGAAGCCTGGGCAGGTGCAGCTGCCTCGGCTGAGGGCAAGTTCTGATTCCCACGTGGGCCTCACCTTTCTGGCCCTGTCTTCCCAGCTTGAGGGCAGCTTGGAGCAGGAGAAGAAGCTGCGAGCAGACCTGGAAAGAGTGAAGAGGAAACTAGAGGGAGACCTGAAAATGTCCCAGGAGTCCATTATGGACCTCGAAAATGACAAGCAACAGATGGAAGAGAAACTGAAGAAGTCAGTGTTCACCGTTTTCTGTCCCTTTCTAAGCCTGAGCAGTCAACTCCCACCCCTTGGCCCTAAGTGTGTTTCATGTACTTTGATCTTCTTGAAAATCTATTTGCAGGAAGGAGTTTGAAATCAGTCAGTTACAAAGCAAAATCGAAGATGAACAAGTTCACAGTTTGCAGTTACAAAAGAAGATTAAAGAACTGCAGGTGAAAGTGTCAGCTCCACCCCGGCCATAGAAACCCCTTGGCGCGAACTCTTGCTTGCTCTTCCCCCTTTGTTTCTCTAGCTCCTTCTTCTCTCCCTCCTATTGGAGCTGGAAGGAATCACCTGTCCTTTCCTCTTTTTTTTTTGAGTGAAGACCTTACTGTGTTGCCCTAGCTGATCTGAAACTCCTAGGTTCAAGCAGTGCTCCTGCCTCAGCCTCCGAAGTAGGTGCAGAGTACCATGTGCAGCTCTCTCTCTCTGTCTCTCTGTCTCT